CCACTTCACAATTGTATACCACTTTGTGTTGGTCTTTCACATTAAATTCCAGTGAAATATATTTATGTTTGTGGTTGAAATGTGACAAAATATGGAAAAGTTCAAGGGGTATGAATACTTTTGCAAACCACTGTATATAAAAATATATTCATTAAATATGTATGTGTACATATGTTTATTAATATTATAGTTCAGTAACTTAACATAATACATACACGTCATACACAGAGTTGTAAAGTAACTAAGTACAAATACTTTGTTACTGTACTTAAGTAGAATTTTTGCGTATCTGTACTTTACTTGAGTGATTATTTTTCAGCATACTTTTTACGTTTCACACAATTATCTATACTTTCTACTCCTTACATTTTTAAAAAAGGCAAGAAGTAGAAAGTCATTACTTTTATTTCATTTGTGCTTGTTTTATTCCAGCTTGTTATTGTAAAAAATAAATACTATCCATATAAATTGTTCCTCCTATAGAGTGAGTTTAATTGTGGTTGAATGAGAAGTATAAATATATAAAATTCTGATACTGTATTAGTTTGTACACAAACAAATCATGTCACACTCCAGCAGGACATAATCATTAAAATAAAAGTTCTGTACATAAGAAGTATTTGTATTTCATGAATTATATTATTACATTTGGCCGCAGCCCTCAGATACATTTTCATTTTGGGTAAAATGTTTGTGCAGCCTTGATATATGTATAAAAACTGAAACAGCTGGACTAGTGCATCTTAAATTTAACATAAATTATTTTAATACAACAGTCATTTCTGCAGTTTTTGGGAGGTCACCTCCTAATAAATGTCCTTACAGAAAATCTAACTGCTCATTTTAAATCAATACTTTTACTTTTAATAAAGTACAAAAAATATCAGATACTTCAATACTTTTACTCAAGTAATATTCCTAAAGGAGACTTTAACTTTTACCAAAGTAATTTTCTGGTAAGATACTTGTACTTTTACTCAAGTATCACTTTGTGTTACTTTAAACAACACTGTACAAACATGTTAAATTAACACTTAACACCTGACTCACTTGGTCCACTTCAAACAGACCAGAGTTCGTTTCCCCCGTTGGTCCGGACCTTTTATGCAGGTGTGAATACACTCATGTGAACCCTGGTGCGGACCAAACAGCCGGACCGAGACCCACTTTTGAGGTGGTCTTGGTCCTCTCGAAATCTGGTGTGGTTCGCCTTGTGTGAATACAGACCCGCCTTGACCTGAACCAACTAGAGGAAACGTACGCCTTTTTGGTCTTCACAAGCCAACACTGCTAAGCATTATGCTAACAGTTAGCCCTTCAGTGTTGCTACCTACGCTACAAACAATAACCTGTCGTGAGTCAAGGCATGGACAGCATCTAGTCTCCTTTGGATTGTGGCACGCATTTGCAAACGCCGTCCCAAAATTAGATTTATATCTTTGTGAAACCGCCTTTGAATGAGCTGCTTTTGAAATTCTATGATATTGTAATTATAACGTGTCTTTCTCTCCGGGTCTGTACGCTGTCTCGCCCCTGTCATTTCTGTCCAATGGCTTTGTTTATAAATTATGGTTTGCTTGCAAAGAAGCACTGTGTGAATGCAAATCACACCAAACAAAAAATAAATAAATAAAATTGACTTTTAATACGAACCAAACAAGTGGACCAAAGGACTTGGTATGAATACACACTTTGCAACATGAGACACCTCGTGTGCAGTTTGAGAGAAACGACTACAGTGACTTTGTTTGGTCAAATTATGTATAAATGCTCCGTAATGAATGGAGTAAAACGCTTTGTGTTTTCAGGTTGTTCGAGATGTGCTGCTGCTGGGACACAGACAGGCTTTTGCTTGGGTTGACGAGTGGATAGGTATGTGTGCGAGCATACTTTTAATTTAAGACATGCATGCAGTGGTTACAGCAAAATGTTTCAGAAAACCTTTGCTTAAGGAGTTTGTGTGCACTTATGCATGATTACAGAATAGTTGCAACGCTTATTCTTTTGTTTATTTTTAAATGTTAGCCAGTTCTTTGAAATGTTTAAATCACAGACATCATTTATGCATGAGCACTCATCCCACCTGCATTTAGCTCTGCCACTGCCAGTCTTGGTTGGCTTCTTTCAGCATGAATCCTAAACAATAACACATTTTAAAAGTGATAAGTAGACAATTTGAAGTTACAGAATGTTTTATTTCATTTTCACTGTATTTAAGCTTGATACTAGTTGAACAAGATGTTTATTAAATATGTATCATGTTTCTGACCGACTTGCTACAATTACATGGAGTAACTGAAAGTTGCATGAAAAAAAGATGAATGATAAACTGAAGTATGATTTCTGCCAAAAGCTGCTTCTCTGTTTTGCACACAGGACCACCCTGTGTGATCACTCAAGTGGCTGCAATCGATATACTTTCTCTCCACTCTTTAGCTTTTTCTATAGCTGCAGGGTGCATAGAAAATAATCCCTTTATCTTTGACATGACGCATACTCCACTCCCTTGTAGTCACTAACACTTCCTCCTGAAACCTGGATGTTTCCTTATATTTTCTAACATGGGATGGTTTTTGCTTGTGGACTAAGTGGGACTTTTAGGTTTTTCTTTTATGTATTTCCAAAGATTCAGCCTTCCCTTGCTTCACCTTTTCTTGAATCTGCCTGGACCTATTCCCGTCGTTCCCTCCTTGTGTGGCTTGGATTTGTCTTGCTCTCTCTCCTGCATTCTCTTTGGGTCCTGGGAAGCTAGCATTAACCTCGCTGAGTCTTTAACCCTAACCAAGCTTTACCTCTGCCAGCAAATCCTCCCGTTTCTGATCTGACTCTCACCTGGAGCACTCCTGTGGAGAAGTAACACCATGCTGACCCTCGTTGCAACCTTACCCACTTCTTACAGATATGACTTTGGATGATGTGCGGAATTACGAGAGAAAAATGCATGAGAAAACCAACATTAAAGTTTGCCATGAGCAGCAAGAGCATTCCACAACAAATCCATCTGCACTGGATGACATAGAGATCCATGAGGCAGCAAGTGTATGTGTCTTTTTCTTTGTTTTAATTCATTGCCTGTCTTCTCTCTCATTTTCTTTTTTCACAGTTGGGTGTTATAAGCCACGGTTGTCTTTTAAAATTGAATTTATTTCCTATAACCAGGGTTGCACATAAAATTTTTGGTCTGGTTCTCAGGGGAGAACCTTGGGTTATTGCTTGGTGCACATATTTTCCTTCACTCATTTAACACATTTATCTAGAGGGGTGTTCGGGCATTTATTATTGCTCTGTTCTGTTTTATGATGCCTTCTATCAGCTGGCAATGTCTCAGGACATCATGCCAAATCAGAGTTTTTTATTATGTTTTGTTGTTTTTTACTCTGCATACATTTTGTAAACTAAGTGGCCAATGGGCTGACCCATGAGCACGTGTCATCTCAAACTGAACATTTCATGTTTAAATGTCTGTTAGATTACGCATGACCCTGAGATGTACAGCTCCTGTTATTTGGCCTTCTAGGTCTTTGGCCTTGTTTAAACCAGCTTTCCACACTCTCCAGACCAAGCAGCAAATGTTTTATTAGACTGATTTCTTTTTAAAAGACTATTTTGTTCAAAAAGATTATATTTAGATGGTTTCAGCTAATGTAATCATTTAAAATTATTTATTCTTCGTATTTTATCATTTAACGAATTACATTAATCCCAGAGCAGTTGTGTCACAGTATGATTCTAAATATAAACATGTTTAGCACATCAACACCCTTGTTATCATAGAATTGTGAAGAATGAAATTTGCGGATTTTTCTGATAAATTAAAATAACATTTAAAACTCATTCTCCTAGAGAACATGATAAGTTTTTATTTTTATTTTTTTGGATGCGGGGTGACATTAAACAGACTCATCTTTGCTTTGATATGGGGCAAATAAATGTTCTTCATTTAGAGGTAATATGGTTTAGAAGAACTCGAACAGCGAATCTCAGAGACTCACAGCCTGCTTGCGCTGAGGTGCGTTCCGTGTCTCAGGAGGAGAGTTTAGTCACTGACGCAAAGTCTCACAGATCTGTTGGATAACAACGCTCTGAACATATATTTAATATAAAGTTATGTTTTAGAGACCAAAGTCTCTGGTAGTTCAGGAGCAGAGTACAGGAGGAGATGTCAGGACTGATCGCTGCAGCCGCTGTTCGAGCACCTGTCTCTGCTGAAAACAGCTCTGACTGAAAGTCCCGCCCTGCCCTGCTCTGCTCTGATTGGGTAAAACAGCTCTTGAGTTCATCTGATTCGTTGAAAGCAGTGTCTGTTTAATCCTTATGCATCAGGGTCCGGCTGCCCTCCTCTGACAGAATGACGATCCAGTCATACCAGTGAGGCTGGATTTTTGTTTGTTTTTAAGAAATCAGGTCACATTTGCGACCCTGCTAGCTGTTGTTTTCACAATCTCAGGTACAATCTTAGGTACGCAAGGGAGCTTTATGACATTCCATCTGGTGCGCTTTTTCTTTCTTGATTGCGCACCTGCGCGCCGCTTATGTGCAACTCTGCCTATATACTTTTCCTCTGGTTCTAATGTTTAGACCTTGTGCATTGTAAAGTAGACACTTCATTGCATAAAAAATGACGCTCCTTTTAATACCTTTTCATTCCAGACATGACGATGGATGAAGTGAGAGAGTTTGAGCGCACCATCCAGGAGGCCACCAACCAGAAGATTGGGGTAATCCCCCCATCGATCTCCATTAGTGAGATGCCCCTGTCCTCTTGCGCTCCCACCGGCCCCGCCAGCGCTCCCTCAACTCCAATGTGCACCGACGCGCCCGAGTCCCTCTCCGTTCCCAAGGATCGACCTCGCAAAAAGTCCGCCCCCGAAACTCTGACCCTTCCCGACCCTGCTCCGAGTCCGACTCCCCAGAGCTCTTCCTCAAACCAGTTAGCCACGTCTAACCACCTCCAGTCGTCCACGCCGCCTTCCAACTCTGACCTGGCTGAAATGGGTGAGCAGTAGAACAGTGGGACGTCTTCCCTCAAACCCCTTATTTTGCCCCCACTGTCTTATGAGCCCAGTGAGACCAACTTTGCCTCCAAGCGCCAGTGCCCTGACATTCAAGCTCTTTAGCCACGATCTATGAATTGCCATAATTTAAACACGGCACCAATCCCTCAAGAACTCATCAGTGTCATTGATGCCACCAGGGCAGCTGTAGCCTCAGCCACCCCAATGTGCTTCACTGAGCGTCTAATCAGCCTAATTTCACACTTATTTCCTACAAATACACAAACTGTTTGACAGCAAAGATTATATTTGTTGAGTAGATGTCCTTTATGTAAATAAATTTTCATTGTTTTCCTAATTGTTTTTCCCCTCCCAATCAAATGAGCTGACCATAACTTACCACTTCTTTTTTTTCAAGTAGTTGCCTTTTCACCACCGAGCCATTGGAGATTGAGTAAATATACATAATATGTATAAATGACATGATTCAATTGTAGACTTTAAGATAATAAAACTACATTAGAAATTGACTTGACTTAAATCGGAGTAGCACAGTAGAAGTAATAGAATAACGCTTTTTTTTCTTTGGAAAAACAGCCAAGTACCTTTTACGGTACATTCTTCAAACTGTGGCTTCAGCTGTTTACCCAACCTGTGGATCACAAATTCCTCATTATTTTTGTTACAAACTATAAAATTATATAAGAGATGCAAGATCTGTACAATCATTGCAAAATTACACCTCAGGTCTTTCCAACTAGACATGGATCCCACTCCGAATGCAGGGATGTTATTTCTTTTCTCTCACTGATTTTGACACAAACTTGCATTTTATACCTTGACCAACTATTACATGTACTATACCAGTCTACTTAAACCTGGAAATGTTTACACATCACAAATATTTAGAGTTGAGCTGTTATTTTATCTGCGTTTGCAGTTTCATTAAAAGTAAATTTAAAAGAAAGTAATTCACTCAAATTAGTTGATCAGGCTCCATCTTGCCAAGGTCAATACAACAAAAGTGCAACAAGTTAAAGTCAAATGTTGCTTGAAAATGATGCTGGATGTGTGTGTGTGATATAAATGTGATCCACTTCAGTGAAATTGACAAAATCACTTTTATGTCATGTTGGAACAAGGCCATTATGGAAGAGTTTTGTGCTACAAACTGATCCAATGAAAAGGCGATGTTGGGTATGAAGGAAAGGGCACATGTGTCAAGCTGACTTGAGTATGTGCTTCATTAGGTGCAGAGCGTTCGCTGAAGTAGGATGGCTTTGCCAGCACTGATTGGTAATGCAAAGCCAGTGCTTTCATGAGAGCTGCAAACAGTATCCTAATGAGAACATTCTTTGCAGAGAACCACCGTTGGGTTTTGACTTCCTTCATCAGTTGTCATTAAAACCCTGAAAGTAAAACAGAAATAAAAACTATCATGTTCAGTCGTGGAAAAATCCTAATTTTTTTCTATACAATATTATTCAAAGCTAAGGTTTTATATGCTGCATGGGATGTTCACATGTATACAGAATATATGAAGAAATTATGATATACTATGTATGGATGAATTGGTACAGTATATTTCGTAGCGCATCTGTATGAAGAATTAAAAAAGAATGCTTCCTTTGGAAGTTTGAACTAATTTTGTAGAACAGAAAAGAAATGCAGATTTTGAGTGAAATCTAAGCATGCCCAGAGATTAACAGTAGGCCTATAAACTCTTCAAACTCAGTGCCTCTGCATGCTACAGGCTCATCATTAACTACATGTATAAACCAAAACCTTTTTAATCGTTCAGGTACTAAAACATTTTTCACATTTAACAAAGTGAAAATGGCTTACGCCCCATGTAGATCAGTATAATACAATCAGATTGTATCCATAATTAATTCACCTCTGTTTCCCCATAGTGGCAGTGAGGGTGTTAGGTCAGAGAGCTTAATTGACTCGAGACGTGCGGTTGGGTTCAGCATCCTATGGGTTTTTATTTTTATTTTTATTTTTTGTATCATTAAGTCTTTAAATTAGTTATCTCTTTTAGTGCAAGTAAATTTACATTTTGGAAGATTTTTCTTGCTTCTTTTGTTCGTTTTGTGCAGCAGACTATTAAGGCCACATGACAAGATTATTTTCTTAATTATAAGTATAAAGTCGTAATATTTTGAGAATAGTCGGACTATCACAAGAAAAGTTTGCGTTCCTGGGTCGACTTGGATCTGCTGTGGACAGCTTCTGTCTGTCTTTATGAAGTAGTCCGTGATTACTTTTGGGTCGGTGTTGGCGTAATATGTTTCCGTCCACATTATGTGACGACTAAATCCATCAATGCAGCCGTTAACTGAAATACGTTGTCAGTTTATCATATAGTCTTGGCACAATTGTTTCAAAGTCCTGCTACTGATAATTTGATGATGATGATGTGTTAAAAGAATTAGGTATTTCTTAACTGATACCAATTTATGACTTCACAAGATGCTCGACATTCCTCATTTTACTGTGTAAGACTGTAAGACTAAGACGTGTAAGTCTGCTTTTTTTCTGTGTAGAAATTAACATATGATTTTATCGTTATGTTACGACTTTATTTTCGTAATAACTTTTTCTTATATTACAATGTTATTCTCATTATTGTGAATTTATTCTCTTAATATTATGACTTTCTTCATGTTATGACTTTAATCTTGAAATTTGAAGCAAAGACGTCATGATGCATCTCAGTAATCCAGGTAGGAAAAAAAGAAAAAATAAGTAGGTCCTCTGGATGGGTTCTTCTTTTGTGAAACGTTTCCTCTCTCCTCCAAGAGACTTCTTCAGCCTGAGTTTCAGGTGAACTCAGCCTTATAAGCACTGCCTCCACATGGTGGACAAACAGGTTAGTCAGTGATCAGTAATACATCAGTGAAACAAAACAGCCACTGTTCAAAAGAATGAGCCAACACAGAAGAGCTACATCATCAGGTCAGGACTCTGCAGTTTACATTCATCTACAGGCCAGCGGTTACTCTTTCAGGGATGAAGATGTTCTCATCCTTGATAGAGAGGAACGTTGGTTTGAGAGAGGAGTAAAGGAAGCCATCTTTGTGAAGAAAAACCGTCCACCATTAAACAGAAGTGGAGGCCTTCGTGCCCAGTTGTCCTCCTCCTACAACGCTGTTATTGTAAGCATGACTCAGCCCCCTTTTGACTATAAGGTGTGAATCAGGGTCCCAACGATAGTCAGGTGATGGAGCACATGACCCTCTACGAACAGTAGAGCTATCAAACCTATTGTTAGGCGATGGCCCTATTTTGCATATAACCAACCTGTTTGTCCAGGTGGAGGCAGTGCTTATAAGGCTGAGTTCACCTGAAACTCATCAGACTGAAGAAGTCTCTTGGAGGAGAGAGGAAACGTTTCACTAAAGAAGAACCCGTCCAGAGGACCTAATCATTAAATCAAAACCTTGCAGTGTGGCCCTTAAACTCCATTGTAGTTTTGACGCATGCATAGCCCAGGGTTTTTCTAATTAATCAGCTACAAATGAGTTAACAATGAGCAAGGAAACATAAACAAGCCCTTGGCTGTTCTATAACGAAGAAGCCTCAGTGTCAAACTCAGCTTTACTACTTTTTAATTTCCTACTTTAGCTTTCGTTGCTGTCGATCTTGTTCTCTTTAAGCATCTCCTGCTTCTTTCTTTGTTATCCTTTTTCCTGAGTCAGCTTCATGCTGGTTCTGTAAATCTTGTGCTCTTTAACTGCAGGGTGGTTGGTGACACAGGGGTGTAAGACAAACATATCAGAGTACACCTTCAAACTCTCAATAACAGGGCTACCTTAAATTTTGGAAGATTTTTTTGTTTTTGTTTGTTCCCCCATGTTTTTTTTTCCAATTGCTGACATTACAACGCAAATGCATTTTGCACTTTCCAGTCTCTTGACACCTTTAAATGACAATGAAGGAATGTGTTGCATTATTATGTTGTTGGGTTTGTTGGACCACGATCCTATATTACAGCATAGTACATTGAGATAGGTAAGCTCACACATATGTCTTCATTTAATTTTTATTTTTTTTACCATATTAATATTTTGTGTAGTTTCTCAATTATATTTGTTATAAAACAGAACAGTGGCTTTTTATCAGTAACATCAGTGTTTGTTTTTCTGGTCACTGATCCTCTGTAGACCTATATTAACTATAAAAAAAACATGCTTACTAGTCTGGTACCGACCACCTCTCTTGTCAGGAACACAGAGATCCAGGGACATGTTTGATCCACCACGGGCTATTAAAAATATTGCAAAATCTATGTGGAACATTAAATATCTGCTCTGTTTAAAAGAGTAACACAATAGCTATTGTAAATAATGCTGTTAATAATTGTAGATTTCTCACATTGAGCCTGTTTCAAGTTCCAGTACTGACGTGCCATGAGTGTGCTCAAATATTAAAAACCGACTAGAAGGATCAATGTGTGTCAGAATGTGAGAGTGTGTGTGCATGAATGTGTGCGATGAGAACGTTTTCACAAACCTGAATTAAAGCTCCTGTTTAATCTGTAAGCAGGCTTATTATGTGTTTTTATTATTGACCTTGTTACTTATTGCTGAATTCTGTTTCTTCTTTTCCTTTAAATATGAAGATACATTGTTGTAGTGCACTTTTTTGCTCCTCTGTTGTTTCTACTGCGGGGCAAAAATGATTTTCTAAGTTGTAAAGCTGTTTGATGCTTTGCGGTTTAGTGATGTGGCTGCTTTGATGTTCACCTGTCATGTTAATTAAAGAGGTGATGAGCATTTTCAGTTTTCTCTTGCGTTGTGAACTTGCTGTACGTTAATTCTGTGATTGCTGTATTGCATTTCACGCCTTCTCCTCCCGATGCAGTTTGAATTCAGCCAAGTTTTGCCGTCTCCTGGTGTCTGAGATCTGCGTCACAAACTAGAATGACTGAGCTCCGTTCTGCTCAGTGATTATGAAATAAGTTCTTCGTTGTGACACAAAGCCCAGAGGTGCCATTCTTGTTTGGCTGCTGGAAGTTCTTTGTTCTTCCACTTTAATTATAATTATTTTATTGTATTTGTTATATTTTTACCGCCCTTTGAGGTTAATTTGTTTTTGTTTTTTGTTGTAATTATCGTTTAACTTTTTTCTTAAACAGATAAATAAACTTTGTTAGCTATTGTGACTGTGTTATCTTTTATTCTGTTTCATGTGAACACATAAAATAAGTTACACTTTCACTTTACAGCTGGATTCTCATGTATGTCAACTTAGAAATTTCCATTTAATATGTGGGAACCTGTGCATACTTTAGCTTACATACCTATAACTTATGTTTAACGGGGCAATATTATGTGTTTCTCAGGCATATATTTAAATACTATACCATAACAAAGTATTTATGTCATCTTTAGCTGTTATTAAAATGCTGTTTTTATGTTTAAATAGAAAATAAACTTATCTTCTCATCACTTCCTCTTCTAAACGCCTTGAAATTGGCCTCTGCCTCTTTAAGAACCACCTTCCGCTTCTGTCTCACCCATTTCGGGGGGAGGGGGGTTCGCACGCGCTATGATGCAGTTTACTTGGCATCTGAAAATACATTTCCTCCAAGGTATTTTGAAT